ATGCTCAGCCCTTCTCTTCCCGTGCCTCCGAATCCCACGGGCGGGACAATTGACTAAAATGCCAATTGTTTTACCCTTTTGATTTTACTGATTTTTTAACTCAAAACATTTTTTTCTTTTTCTTTTCCTTTTTCTTTTAGCTTTCCGATACTGTGTTTGTGCTGTCACGTCTTTCACAGTGATTCTCTGCTCCTCAGAAGGGGAGCACGGGTGTCCTGTCCAGACACACCCAGCACAGCGGAAGTCCCAGAATAGGCCCCCTGATGTGTTCTTTCACTTTTGACGGCCTCCTAAGAACTTGAGCATGGAACTCCTGCAGCCCGCCTGGGCACACGGCAACTGCACTTTTGGGAGCTTTCTAAACTTTCTGGGTATAAGATGAGCAATTCTTATTTCCAGGGATTTGGGACAGCCCAGTTCAGTTAGAGGGGATATTCAGAGCTCACCAAAGACAGGAGGTCACATGCTGGCCCATCTGAATAGCTGTAGACACTGTGCCAAGAAAAAGAAAGCGCTGTGAGTTCAAAGGACAAATATAACCACACAGGCCAGGAAGTTACCTCAGAATGCTGAAATGCCAATTCTAGGAACAAAGTTTTTCAAGAACTGGCTATTCAGTTAGCATATTTATTTAAAAAAATATCTTTCCTGTGCTTTAAATGCCACTGTGGAGACAGTGAGGTGCACCACAAGCTGGAAATGTGGGGGAAAGAGGGGAGTGGCTGGGGGTCCAGAGAACAGCAGCAGCGAGGTGGCGGGGTGGCGGGCCTGATCTGAGGACACCTTAGGGGGTGTGAGGGAGAAAGGCCTAAAGATGGTGATGAGCAAAGGCCCACCCACCTGCCAGCCCCCAGGTACAAGGTGGTGGGGGAGGAAGCACCCAGGGGCACAGGCCCTGCAGGGAGCCGTGTCCTCAGGGACCAGGCTTCTATCAGAGCTGCAAGGTAAAGGCACATCCTGAGGGAGGGCTTTGGTGATTTTATGGATTCTTGGCTGAGAACTCCAGGGACCACAGTGGGCGAGGGGGGTGGGGAGTGGAGGGGTGGGGGGGTTTCAGGGGTTCAGGAGATGTGTGAGAGGAGACAGAATAGGGGTGTGCAGACACACTCATCTCTGGTGGAGATAAGAGTGAATGTTACTTGGTGACAGACACAAACGGAAAAGGACATGGAGAGATTAGTCAGGCAGGTGGTGGGGGTGAGTCTGAGAAATGAAGACGGGAGGAGAGGGGTTGGAGCCTCCCTTGGGCTCTGTCGATGGAGATGAGGAGGTTTGGGGTGGCCAGGTGTCAGGTCTAGGGTGTGGGCCTTTTTGGCCCGGATCCTGGGCAGAGTGCCTGACAGAGGATGGGGTCCCAGAGACAGGCATGAGTCCACTCCAGACCTGGGGGCAGAGAGACACTCACACCTGCGCTCAGGTCGGCCTGGCCCTGCTGTTGGAGGTGACATCAGGGCACCCTAATCAGTGAGCCTTGACACTGGGCCCCTCTTCCTCCCTGCTGAGGGAACTGAAAGCTTAGGGTGGGCCTGGGGGACCTGTGCTCTTAATCCCAGTAGTCCATGTGCAGATCTACACCTTGGAGTGCTGTGTAAACAGTGAGATGTTCTTTCCACCTCCAGATGATCTTATTCAAAAATTGAGTTTCAGGGCCTCCCCTGGTGGCGCAGGGGTTAAGCGCTGGGCTGCAAAGCTGCCCGCAGCCTCTGCAGCACATTTTTGATCCCCAGCCTCCGGCAAGGGTTCCACATGGAGCGACAGACCTCTCCTGTCGCACCAGCTGCTCCCCTCAGCAGTGTATTTCGTCAGTCTGCCTGTTCTGTTCCCAGCTTTGGCTCTGGTGAATTCTCTCACCCTCCTGTGCTTCTGACTGTACCCAGTGCTTGTATAAATAAATAAATCTTAAAAAAAAAAAAATTGAGTTTCAGGGCATCCCTGGTGGTGCAGGGGTTAAAGTCTCAGCACTGTGAAGCTATCAACAGCCACTGTGGCCTGAGTTCAATCCCCAGCCAGGGAGGTACCCACATGGCACAGCACACCTCTCCTGTCTCACCCGCTGCTCCCCTCAGCAGTGTATTTCAGTAGATCTGCCTGTTCTGCTCCCCACTCTGTCTCTGGTGAATCTTCTCATCCTCCCTAACCCTGTGTCTCTGGCCTACACCCCAATTCCTGTATGCATAAATAAATATTTAAAAAAAAACAAACCCTGAGTTTAAAAAACTGAGAAATAGGAAGTAGAAGAAATGTTTTTAATTTTCTGGGACGTTGCCATTAAAGAACTAGAGAGAGGTGGGGCTGGGGAGAACATGGAACCCTCAGAGATGGCACAAGTGCTTCTGAGCCCTCTTCTCCTTCAGTCCCCTCACTCTGACACAACCAGTCCAAGACTCCCTAGAATCCTCACATGGGGGGCCCATCCTCCAGGTCAGCCTCCTTCCACCAAGCACAGCCCAGACCCTCCCAACTGCTCCATTATAATCCCAGAGCAGTGCAGCAGCGCCCCCGTGTGGCCACAGGGCTGAGCACAGGCGACCAGAGCTGCTCTTTCGCCTGCTCAGCCAGGCCCTCCCAGGCTCCCTGGGCTCCCAGCAGCACAAAAAGGGCTTTGAACACAAGAGGAGCCCCCACTCCATGTCAGGTATGAAGTAGAAAGTGTTTCCCAAAACCCCACACTTATATCAGTGTTTCCTCCCCACTGAGTCACCATGGACTGCCTCAGGGCAATAAGATCACCTGTCATTACAGCTGGGTCCAGGTGGGGAACCCCACAAACAAACTGGGTGCCCTCAGTCACCCGGGATGGAACATAAGACGCCTGAGACCCTGTTCCTTGTTCCTGCCGCTGCCTCTGGAGTTGGACTCAGTCTAGTATGTCTCTAACCATGGATGGGGAAAGGAGGAACTGCCCCCACCCAGGGTGTTAGGTCCTGGGCGACCTGGGGACACCCCAGGGAAAGTAAGGATAGAACAGAAATCAGGACATGAAAGGAGCAGAGGTCACAGGAAGGGAAAGGAGGAGTCAGGGAAGAGAACTGCCCGCCTGGGAGACAGTTGTGGGCAGTCTGGAGAGGGACTCCAGGTTCTGGGGCCTAGAAAGAAAAGGGGAGATTCTGTGCCACCCTTATAGGGACCAGCCCAGGGCCCAAATTCCAGGGGTCTCCTGGTCCCACGCCTTGTGGAAGACCTCGCAAGTAACTAGTTGTCATGGTCTCAGTTTTCCCTTCCTCTTCTGTGATAACCAGGCCAGGGACCCGAGAACCTGTGCCCACCTGCAGCAGCCGCTGACCCCACTGAGGCTACAGACATCAGCGACAGAAGCGGCAGGCGCCCCACAGCCACTTCCCAGCAGCAGCTCCGACACCCTCCACAGATGTGGCTCAAGGGGTTCCCTCTGCTCTCTAGGGCCTTGCATGCAGACTTGCAGGCTAGGTCCTCAGGCCCAACTCTTTGCCACCCCCAAACCCTTGCCACCCCCAAACCCTGAGCTTAGGAGCTCTGCAGCCCTACTCGGGGCTTGGGGGTGTGGTGCTAGAGAGTAACTGTGTTCCATCCAAATCCCTAGGTTTAATTCGAATCCCCAATGTGATGGTATTTGGGACTTTGGGGGATGATTAGGTGATGAGGCCTCATGAATGGGATTATGTCCTTGAGAGACACTCCAGAGAGCTCCTCACCAAGTCCAACATGTGAGGGCGCAGTGGGAGGGCAGCGGGCTATGAATAGGGAAGAGAGCGCTGGAATTTGCTGGACTTGATCTTGGACTTCTTAGAGTCTAGGACTGCGAGAAATATATTTCTGTTGTGCATATGTCAATTTACGACATTCTGTTACCATAGCCCACACGGACAAGGTGTTCAAAAACCATGAGATTGTTCCCCAGAGTCCCATGTGCTGTAGGGTTCCCTCAGCTGCCGTCTGGACGACAGTGTCGTGACCCCCAACCAAATGGACACACTTCCTGGCCCAAGAGACCTCAGAGGCAGTTGGTGGCCGTCACCACCTGTCTTCCCTGCTGTGTGGTGAGAGGCTAAGGAAACGGAGAGGGGATGATAGTAGCAAACACACACAAATCGCAGGAAACACCTATTTTCAACAGTTGTGTCCCCCAAAATTCATATATTGAATCCCTCAATATGAATGTACTTAGAGATACAGCCTTTGAAAAGATAATTAAGGTTAAATGAGGTCATAAGCCTGGGGCCCTAATCTGACAGGACTGGTGGTTATGAGAAATATCAGACATCTCTTTCCCCCCAACTTGTGCGCACACACACACACACACACACACACACACACACACACAGGAAACACCACCATGTTGTGAAGTCCTACAAGTCAGAAAGAGAACCCTCATCAGAAACCAACTTCCTAGCACTTTGATCTTGGACTTCTGGCCTCCAACTGCTAGAAAACATATTTCTGTTCAGCCACCTAGTGTGTGGGATTTGGTGACGGCAGCCCGAGCAGACCAAGGCAACTTCCAAACCAAAATCCAGGCAACTCTCCCTTTCAGTCTCAGAAGTACCAGCTTTACGGGGCTGGTCACAGCCTATATTCTCATCCATGATGTTCAGTGACTGTTCTGTGCCAGGCATGGTTCTGGGCCTGGTGATCATTTCATGAAATCAGAGAAAAAACTGCTTTCCTGATGCTTCCATCTGACAGGAAGACAGACAACCAATGAGAACATCGCAAGAGGAGTAAAGTGTGTGATATGTGTTCTTGTCTATCACTTGGTAACAAACAATCCCCCAGATAAAAGCATCCTTTATTCTCCCCCTTCTGCGGGGTGACAGGGTCAGTGGGCAGCTTCTCTGCTCCACATGCACAGGCTGTGGGTACAGTGCCCTGGAACATCCAGGAGGATCCCTCCCAGGACAACAGGGGGTGCAGGCTGTGGGCTGGGGCTCACTGGGGCTGCTAACTGCATGGTTTGGCTGTTCCCAGCTCGGCTCCTGGGCTCCAGGAGGGGGTGTCCCCTGTGGACAAGTCAGACCCCCCAGGGGATCTGGTGTCAGAACCTCAGAATTCAAAAAGTGTCACTGTTCCAAAGCTGTTCAAAGATCAAGGGGAGGGAGGTGGTCACACCCCTAGGTAGGCGGTGGTGGCGTCACATTGCGGAAGGGGATGTGGGGTGGGTGTTGTTGAACCCGTCTTGGGGAAAAGGCCCCTGTACAGTGTGTCAGAAAGTGGCAGGAGAGGGCCTCCCTGGTGGCACAGGCAGTTGAGCGCAAGCACTGTGAATCTGTCCACAGCCTCTGCATTGCGGGTTCGATCCCTGCTGGCTGGGGAGATACACACATGTCGCAGCAGACCTCTCCTGTCTCGCCCACTGCTCCCCTCAGCAGTGTATTTCAGTCAGTCTGCCTGTTCTGCTCCCCACTTTGTCTCTGGTGAATCCTCTCACCCTCCCATACATCTGGCCTGTACCCCGGTTCTTGTATAAATAAATAAATCTTTAAAAAAAAAAAAAAGTGACAGGAGATAGAGGAAAACTCCTGCAGGGTGGATACCCAAGGCAAGCAGATGGGAGGGGCACTTGTAAATAAAGTGGTCAGGGCGGGCCTCAGTGGGTGACAGTTGAAAGAAATTGAAGCAGGAGAGACTGAAGCACACAGGGACTTGCAGGGACGCCTTCCTGGGTTGCCTCTGCGTGTACAAGACTGTACCAGGCAGACACTAAGGCTACGGTGGGAATGGAGGGGCTCAGTTAGCCAGACTCCTGCAGGGAGCTGTGAGGACCTCTTCTTGCTCTGGCCCTTAAAAGCCCTGGGTTGGGGAGGAGAAGGCATTGCTGTGGGAGGAAGATGAGGGGGGAGGGGAAGAGAGCTGCGGTGGGCAGCTCACTCAGTCTCCAGTCTCTCTCGGGTGGCCAGGGAGGTGGTGACTGCCGTGAGGACCCTGGGGCTATCACGCTGCAGGGGGCTGGGCATGGGATGAGGGCGCTTCCCCTCTGGTTTTCTCCCCCACACCTCACAACCACCATCTAATCATGAGAAGATTTCAGACACACTCGAACAAGTGACAGCGTACAAATTACCTGTCCAGTACTCTTCACAACTTTCAAGGTCATGGAAACAAGTAAGAACTTAGAAACTCAGAAGATTGGTTTCTATAGGGACAAGAGGGACACAACTGGAGGTGGCTGGATTGGATCCTGGAATGGAAAAAGGGCATGAGTAGAAAAACGGGTGAAATCCAAAACAGGTCTATAGTTCAGCTAATGGTGTTATACATGTTAGCTTCTTGGCCTTAGCATAGTTTTGTTAGATATTAACATTAAGAGAAACTGGGTAAAAGGTGTAAGGGATCTTTGTGTTAGCTTCACATTTCTGTTAATCTAATGTGATTCAAAAAATAACTTTAAAAAGTGAAATGAGGACCTCCCTGGTGGTGCAAGGGCTTATGTCTCAGCCCTGTGCAGCTATGGGCCGCCAGAGCAGCACAAATTTGATCCCTGGCCAGGGAGCTACCCACATGGCACAACAGACCTCTCCTGTCTCCCTTACTGCTCCCCTCAGCAGTGAATCTGCCTGTTCTGCTCCCCACTCTGTCTCTGGTGGGTCCTCTCACCCACCCAGTCTGGCACCTCTGGCCTATACCCCAGTTCTTCTACAAAATAAATAAATTTTTTTTTAAATGTTACAGGCCTCGGGCCTCCCCGGTGGCGCAGCAGTTGAGTGCCACACTGCAAGGCTGTCCGCAGCCTTCACAGCACCAGTTCAATTCCCCACGAGCCAGGGAGAACCCCACATGGCGTGGCAGACCTCTCCTGCCATGCCCGCTGCTCCCATCAGTAGTGTCTTCAGTCCGCCTGCCTGTTCTGCTCCCCGCTCTGGCTCTGGTGGATTCTCTCACCCTCCTGCGCTTCTGAGCTGTACCCCAGTTCTAGTATTAATAAATGGATAAATCTTTAAAAAATAAAAAATAAAAATGTTACAGGCCTCTTCTTTTTCCTCTGAAAAGTAGGAACATATCAGGTAGTGGGAGAACACAAGGTCTTGGCCTCACCTAAACAAGCTTCAAACCAAGCCCCCCCCCCAACCCCCCCAACCCCCCCCCAAGGTACAGAAGCACTAACCGACCTCCAGGAGGGTCACCCTCTGAGTTCCTGGATGCCCCTCCCCACACACAGCCCATGGCAGGAGCCACCTTCCCATTCTGTAGCACGTGTCCCAGGCAGCGAGCTGGTTAGCAGCTGCCCCGCCCCAGCAATCCCGCCTTCTGAGGCCCGCTTTTCTGATGACACCCTTTTCACAGACGATCAAAGCTGGAGCCCCCCACCCCCTCTGCACCACCCCTGCCCGCAGCGGTGTGACTGTGCGCTCCAGCCCCTGCAGGACACACTGCAGAAGCCTGCCCTGTGCACAAGGCTCACACATACGGGTGCAGACGGGGCCTTGGTTCTAGCACCGGAGCTGAAGGGAGAGCTCGCTGCTTCAACAGAGCTTGAAACCTGTGACAGCGTCACATGCTGTCGGGAGCCAGGATACAAGTGATTCAGTGCTGCCCATGGACCAGATTAGGCAAACAGCACAACAAGCAAGAGGCACAAGGCCACTCTGAGCCAGCAAGAAGAGGGAAGGGAGACAAAGGGGGAAATCAATACCTGAGCCAGGTCAATGGTACGAGATTTCAAGTGAGGTAGACCTGCGTCTGAACCCCCGGGGCTTTTCCAACCAGCTATGCAAACTTGAACATATCTGGCCCAGCACAGGTCCCCACAGACACTTGCTGAATATCGCTGCTGAACGAAACCCTTTGACCCAGTTTCCTCACCTACAACCCACAATGTAACTCCTACCTGCAGAACAAGGGGGAGCAAGAGGGCACGTTAAGAAAAACTGACACAAGACATATGGTAGGCAGGCTGGGCACCAGTGCTCTAAAGCAAGTCCTGTCTGAGCAGCCAGAACACTGGCACATCAGGTACAAGAGTTCCAGAACCCACGGCCCAGCTGGGAGGGCGGTGGGGGCAGCAGAGCAGAGGAGGGGCAGGGCCAGGCACTGAAGCGAGGCCAAGGCCTGGAGGCAACCAGTTCCTGGTGATTGCTGGGGCAGCTCAGACAGCTTCTGCCTCACCTGCCATGGTCCTTCCTCTGCCCTGGCTCTCCCGATGCAGCCGTTACCTCCTCCAGCCTCCCTGGCCCCTGGCACTCCAGGGATCCTGGAGGTGCTGGTCCCAGAGCCCCAGTGCAACCACAGAAGAGCCACCTGACTCCACAGGGAGTGGGAAGATGAGATCACCTCCGACGACGGTAAGTGGCCCCAGGGTCGGGGTGGAGGGCACGGAGTTGTATGGGAGGAGCGGACTTTAATTTCTCCCTGCACCAGCCTGCAGAAACCACCCCCTACACCCCGAAGCTTGCTCCAACTCAATTCTTCAGCACCTTCCCCACTCCATCCCAGTCCTCAGGACTCCCTTTCACCCTCATGCCTGCCTCCCTCCCTTCCTCAAGTCCAGAGAGTCCTTGAAAAGGAATTTCCCTCCCTTAACAGTTAATTATTTCCTAGAGCGAAGGTACAGCCTGTCCTCTCCTTCCTATGACCCAGATCCTTCTATAAGCATTGTTACAGCCCCTCTCCCCCACCCCACCTGAAATTCAACTGCCCCTATGTCCAAGCAGCACGGCCAACTTTAAATAGGGTACAAAATTGGGGAGCAGTACAACAGACTTGGAGAGCCTCTGGCCTTGGCCCCGCCCTGGCTGACGTTCCCTCCCCCATGTCCCCCCTCCAGAGTCCCCGGCCCCGCCCCACAGCTGAGCTGGCCCAAGCTGAGGAGTTGCTGGAGCAGCAGCTGGAGCTGTACCAGGCCATGCTGGAGGGGCAAGAAGGGGCTTGGGAAGCCCAGGCCCTGGTGCTCAAAATCCAGAAGCTGAAGGAGCAGATGAGGAGACACCGTGAGAGCCTGAGAGATGATGCTTAATCTTTTCAAGTTTCCATTTCAACCTCCAACATGAAATGCTATGCATGCATCCCCTGAGCCCTTCAACCAGAAACATCTCCAAGTCCCCCAGGCTACTAAAGAAACACAAGACACTTCCAGAGGGCAAGGAACTGGATAGTAGTTAGGAGCTGTGGCCTCCAGTCTTTTCAGCCACACACCCCGCCCCCCCCCCAATCATCCTGCAATCACAGCAAGGCACACAGTCCCTAAAGGAATATACCCTGGATCATGCCCTAAATTAATCTCACCCCAAATCCAATAAAGGGACGAAGCGATTACAGATACCACAGACGCATGTGTTTTTTAGTTTTGTTAAAAAAAAGTTTTGACAAATCAGGAAATGAGGGTTTAGGAGTGGTGGTGATGCAAAAGAGGGAAGCCAAAGGTAGGGGCTGGGGGTATCAGGGGTAGGTGGCAGTAGTGTCTCCTTCATCCCCATGTCTGGTGTCCTCTCCTGAAGAGGGACAGACGGTCACATTCCAGAACTGGTGGGCGAGTCCTCTACCGTGTCTGTTCAACTGAAGAGAAAATAAGGCACGGTTAGGTAAGACATAGGAAAGGAGGGTGGCAGAAACAAACGCCCACACCTGCAGATGTGTCTGTGGGGTGCTGTATAAGACCTGGGGATGGGGAAAGAGAAATCATTTGATAAGAGTAAAAGAGACCCCACACAGAGGTCAATGAAACATCCCAACCAGCATCAAGCTGGCGGGGGAGGCTATGTGACTATTAAGTATAATAGGACGGAAGGCGAACATACCAAGGAACAAGGAAAATGGGGGAACTAGCTTCCTGGGACCAATACTCACTGTAGGAGGAGATGTCTATCTCATCAGGCAGCTCACTAATATTGACCTCAAAGCGATCCTGCACATCATTGAGGATCTTGGCATCATTTTCATCAGACACAAATGTGATGGCCAAGCCTTTGGTACCAAACCGGCCAGCTCTGGCCACCTGGAAGGAGACAGGGTAGGGATGAAGACTCCAAAGGGAAGATTCCCAAAAGGGAAGGTGATGAAGATGGGAAGGGATGGGAGGACACGGACAACACCATTCTAGGTGTGGGGCTTACCCGATGCAGGTAGGTGTCGGAATCCTCAGGCATGTCATAGTTAAAAGCGATGTTCACCCGCTCAATGTCCATGCCTCGACCAAACAGGTTGGTAGCCACAAGAATTCGTCGTTGAAAATCTTTAAACTGCTGATACCGAGAAAGCCTTTATGAGAAAGGAAATTAGAGAAATGTAAGTGATTCCTCTTCTCTCAATGGTGCTTTCCTCCCAAGGACACAAAATATCTTCCCCATCTCCAACTCACCTCTCCTCCTGGGGCATCCCACGGTGGATGGCAATGGCTGGGAAGTTCTGCTCCACTAGGAGCTGGGCCAGGGCAATGCAGCGCTGCACAGACTTCACAAAGATCACCACCTGTGTGTGTGTTGTATGTGCGTGTGTGCAACAGATTGGCAGGAATATGGGTCCATGAAAATATATGAGAAAAATTAGGAAAAGGGAGTTTATAATAATCACACTCTTCTAAAGAAATTCCTCTTAACCTCAATTGTGTATTTCCTCTTCTTTCTTAAAAAGTAACTAAGTATAACCTGCCTTTCAGAGAAATCAGACATGCTGCACATGTATAACCAAAACAATAACCAAAAAAATTATCAGACGTGTTAGGAGACAAGGAAAAGACTACCTCATGAAAAAATAGCAAATAGTAGTGGTCAATTTTATAGTATTCCCATACAGCAAAACATCACACATAAACAACACATTCTAGAAAATAGTTTATAGTGTAAATAAGCCATACAACAGGCAAAGTGATGAAATGCTTCTTCTCAGTACTAAAAAAATTTCCAGACCCTATTACTTAATTGATGGAAATATAAAATGGTACAGCTGCTTTAAAAAAGTCTGGTTGTTTCTCAAAAGATTAATTTCATTCTTAGGGATACACCCAACAGAAATAAAACGTGTGTCGACAGAAAAATGTGCATACAAATGCTCAAAGAAACACTTCACAATAGCAAATAAGTGGAGAGAACCTGTCTATAAACTAATAGGTAAGTAGAATCTGGCATATCCATACAATGAGACATTAATTGGCCTTGAAAAGTGAAGTACTAAATACACATAATTCAACAAACCTTGAAAACATTATGCCAAGTGAAACCAGCCAATCACAAAGACTGAAATATTGCAGTATTTCATTTATATGGAGCATCCAAGCAAATCCACAGACAAATTTTACGGTGGTTGCCTAGGGCTGGAAAATCTGGAGGGTGACTGCTACTGCATAGTCTATTTTGGAGGTGATAAAAATGTCCTAAAAATGATTATTGTGAATAGCTGCACAATACACTAAAACCATTCAAATTTTACACTTTAAATGGCTGAATTATATGTCTGCAAGTTGAATCTCAATGAATTCATTATGTAAAACTGTAAGGGAAAAAAAGAACCTATCAGATCCAAGATACATGAGTTGCTTTGAATTCAAAAGCCCTTCAAGGATTTTGAGTTTTTTTTAATTGAGCCCCTGTGTCAGCCAGGTAAAGCAGTTCCCACCCTGTTCGTGCTTATCCAAGTGACACTTAAATGTTTTGAAAGAATTTCACTTAAAGGATTTCTTCACCCCTCTCACATCACATACGTGGTTTCACTTTAAAAAAGGGTACTTAATATATAGGTTTCTGCTACAGTTGAAGACAACTCATTCCTCTTTTGGACCTTCAACAACTGACCTGGTTGAACTCAAGGACATCCAGAAGGTCAAAGAGCTTCCGGTTCTTCTCGTTGTCCTTCAGTTTCACGTAGTACTGCTGCAACCCGTGCAGCGTCAGCTTCGTCTCATCATCCACGAAGATCTCCATTGGCTGGGGGGGAGGGGGGAGGAAGGGGGTGGGGAACGGGAGGAGGGCAGAGTGGGGGGGTTAAACCTGGGGGGGTGGAGGAAGTTGATCTCCAATACACCCCATGGGGGGATGGGGAGAAGAGAAATTTGAAAACCCCACCCCACCCCCCAAAAACACCCACAATTTAATGTGGTCTCTTCCACCTTAGATCTAATTCCCTTCCTATCACAGATGTAAGACTGCCCAGCTGAAAACTGTCATGGAAAAGGAAGTTTGCAGATAGGAAAAGGAACAGTGAAACCACCCAACAGCAAGATGCCTTAACTGCAAATGGAAGTGGCAGAGAACCAAAATAATAGGGGCTTTTTCTCAAAGGGAGCACATGAGCCAAACATCTGGAAAATGGTGACTCAAGGTCAGAATAACTCCATCAGAAATGGTCATAAGTATATGGGGAAGAGGACCAGGACTGCTCCATGTGGGTTCTCTGGACTAGGAGAATCACATTCATGTTAGGAATGTTCATGTCGTTCAGGTCAGAATGCAATGGATCTTATAGGAGAGCAAAAACTACTCAAAATGAGTATAACTTGCCCTCAAACCACAAAGGAATACTTCTACATTAGTCTCTGACCTAAATCAAGCCAGCTACAATATTATAAAGGAGGTATTAAGTAGTGCTAAAAAAAACAAAAAAAAAAACAAATTCACAGCAACAAATATGTATTCAGCTCTTAAAAACAAACAAAAAAAGCCCCACAAAACCCTTGAAGGGGAGGAAGGTACCATTAAAAAAAAAAAAAAAAAAAAAAACAAAACCAACAAATTAACAGTAAGACTCAACTCCAGAGTCCAAAGTTCCGAGCACTCTTCACTAACTGGAGGATAGTTAACATGCAGATCCAAGGTCCAAGATTGTGTGCTTGTGTGTGTGATGGAAGAAAACCAGCAGCCCAACCCCAGAAGGCAGGCTAGCAAAGGCTTTCCAGAGAAGTTCCATGGCCTCCTTCACATCTAATTCAGCCCCAAGTGCAGCTAAAGATAAGACTCCTCATCCCAGAGGAACAGAGCCAGGAGGGAGAGAACACACCCCCGCCGTTTCTCTGCAGGCCCTGTCAATTTCCAGACCCTAAGACCCACCTGAGCATGCCCAAGTGGAGCTCCTCACTTTACCTTTTCCATATCCCTCTCTTCTGAGTATTTAAAAAATGCTTAAAAAAAGAAAAAATTCTACCACCCCATTCAGGACACCCCTCCCCCCAACACATATTGGGGAAAACAGGGAGCACGGCACGCCTTGGGTTCAGGAAAAAAACCGGGAACGGAAAAAGAGGCTGGCTGGGTCCTCAGCTTCCTGGTCAGGTTTCCCCGCGGCCTCCGCTGCCGCCATCCACCGCTGGTGCCGTCCGCATTCCCCCGCCGCGCCATGGTGCTTCTCTGCTGCCGTCTCACATCAACCGAGGCTTCCAGATGGGTGCGAGGAGGTACGATGGGAAGGAGTAGGGGATGGGGATTGAGGTGCCAAAGGCCCCCACCCCTGGAGGTGGGGAGGGAGTGGATTCATTTGCGCTGTTTGCTCTTCTTGGACATGCCCTGCCATCTCTCTGTCCCTCTCTTGCTCTCCTGCCACCGGGAGGTTATGAGTTTTGGGGCACAGAAGGCTCCAGTTGTATGCTTGATGCCACCTTGAGGGTGCGTGGCTGTAGGGGGTATGTAGGAGACAATGGGTGGGTGGTAGGGCAGAAAATCCTGCCCTCCCCCAAAGAGAAGAGGTTCAAAAATGCTGATTTAAAAAAAAAAAAGTCGAACACTACCCGCTCTCACGTTAACCCGACCAAGTCTTCCGGAGTTTCCCTGGCGCCCGCGCAGACCCTAACGCTAACTGTCTCTGCCTCTGTGTGTCTCTTCCAGGAGTCATCTCTCTCAGATGGGCACGTGCCCCCTTCTTGGAGCTTGAAGGACAAGGGAGTCTGGAGGAAGAGGGCGCGGCAGGGGAGGAGGCAGCGGGCAGGGAGTGGAGGGAGAGAAGGTAGAAGGGTATTTACGTCTTGCATGAACTTGCGGCAGACTGGACGGATCTCTTTGCTCAAGGTGGCACTGAACATCATGACCTGCTTCTCATGGGGGGTCATGCGAAAAATTTCCTGGACATCCCGACGCATGTCTACAAGAAAGTGAGAGGGGGAAGAAATACGCTAAGAAAAACGCATATCTGATAAGATCAAAGAGGTATCCCAAATGAGGTGAGGATTACTGGAAATGAGTAAGAGAAACTACTAGAGGGAAAGATTTGCCTCAGGGCTCTGTTTTCTCCAACCACCATAAAAACCAGATCCACAACAGTTAACACACAGGAAGGAGCAACGAACACGTAATGCAGACAGCTTTTGGTGTTAACTAATCAAGAAAAAAAAAAA